GACCGTCAATGCCCTGTGTTGTCAGTGGCCTCCCAGACTTCTATATGCGTTTCCTCCACTCCCAGTAATGCCCAGGTTGATCCAGAAGTTATTGGAGGAACGAGCGGAATTGATATTGGTTGCCCCTTATGGGTCCAGGTGAACATGGGCCGCAGGCTTACAGGACCTGTAGAGAGAACAACCTTGGAAAATTCCACCGTCGAAGGTTTTCCTCTCACAAGGGCCGATACTTCACCCGAACCCACAATGGCTCAGTCTAACCGTATGGAGGTTGAGCGGAGCTGTTTAAGGGCTCAACAGATTTCAGAGGATGCTATTGCCACCATTCAAGCATCCAGATGGTCCTCAACAAATCGTACATACAAGGCCACGTGGTCCACCTTCTGTCGCTGGTGCCAGGGGTCTAAGATTGACCTAACTGCCCCATCAATACGACAATTATTGGCCTTTTTACAGGAGGGGTTGACCAAGGGCCTATCTCCAAATACTTTACGCAGACAGGTGGCAGTTTTTGCCTCAGTGATAGCCTGGGGTGACCTCCAGTCCATAGCGCACCATCCACATGTCTGCACCTCTCTTAAGGGTGCTGCAAACTTACAGCCTCCTGTAATTCACTGCTATCCCACCTGGGACCTCAAGAAGGTGTTAACCGCACTTACAACTGGCCCGTTCAAGCCTTTAAGAACCGATAGTCTTAAATTCCTTACGTATAAGGTGGCCTTCCTAATTGCAATCACATCAGCAAGGAGGATTTCCGAATTGGCGGCATTGCCAATGAGAAAGGACCTGTGCATGTGTCATGCGGACAGAGTGATTCTCCGATTGGATCCATTGTTCACTCCTAAAGTAAATTCAGCCTTTCACAGAGCGCAAGAGTTGGTGCCTCCAAAAATTTTGTCCAAAACCATCTCATAGACTGGAGCATCAATGGCATCGACTTGACGTTCAAAGGGCCATAAGCATGTATCTAGACCGCACAGTGGCATTTCGAAAATCTGAGGCTCTATTCCTATCCTTCAACCCATCCACTTTAGAGCAAAAGGTGTTGGCGATGACCATCGGTAGATGGTTGAGAGCCACCATAGCTAAAAGTTACGAATGCCAGTCCATCTCAGTTCCTAAGGGCACTGCAGCCCACTCAACAAGAAGTACGGCAACATCAGCTGCATGGGCCATACAGGCTTCCATAGACGAAATTTGCAGAGTGGCAACTTGGGCTTTACCATCTCCCTTTGTCAGAAATTATAAAATTGATGTCTATGCCTCAGCGGACGCTTCATTTGGCAGAAGAGTCCTGCAGAGGGTCCACAGAGTTTAGGAGTGGATTTCGATCCAGACGGAGTCCCTCCCTAAGGACAGGCCAAGCTTTGGTATGTCCCACTTCTGGATGCTCTGAACAGCTCATGGGAGAAAGGGCGTTGGTACTTTCCTGATACGCCTATTCGCTGTGAGCTGTGAAGAGCATCCAGCCCCACCCATTTCTTTCCATCTGGTGGGGTTCCATTCCAGTCAGGGATCTAGATTAGGTGATGAGTCCCGGACTTTGGCACTCAGTCTTTGCAAAACTGGGGGACGCTAAGGAGGTGTCCTGTGGAGGAGGAGGAGCGTCCTGGAGTTTTAAGCCCAGCCTTTCCAGAAGAGACTAAAGCACCTCCCACTTCTGGATGCTCTTCACAGCTCACAGAGAACAGGCGTATCAGGTAAGTACCAACGCCCTTTTTCTCTCTATTCTAATGTAACCTCTTAAGGGATTATCTATTTGATTTTTAATATTTACTGTTACTGTCTTTTCAGTGTTTTTATTTGCTTGTAAATTATTTTTATCTTCTTGTAATTTATTTTGCTTTGTCTCATCTGTCTTCTGTGTTTTATATTAATCATTTCCCACCATTTGTTGAGGGCCTTCTACTTTCACATATTTGTCTTTAAATATTCCCATCAAATCCTTATGATTCTTTTTCTGCCGTTTCTAACATTTCCTCACAGAACTTTATTGTCTCCTGCTGGGTCATTTTGTACTGTTAATATGCCTCTAATATTCCAATATCCCAATATCTAAAAACTTCAGGAAAAAAACAATTGTTAATAAAATTTGGTCAATCCCAAAATTATTCCTCCAAGTCCCCTAAATTTCTAGTCTTTAAGTATTATAGGTTTGTGTTTTCATTCTTTATAATTTTCAGTTTACACCTTTCCATTTGTTCAGAATTTAAAGTCTTATTTATCTTTTATCTTTTTCTTCTTTTCCCTCTTCTATTGCTTTTCTTCTCCAAATTGTCTACTAAGATAAAGTGAAGGTCAAGAAGCCTTCCAGGTGTTATTTACTTTCTCGCCTTTCCTCACTTTTCTTTGAGTTTTACATGTTACAATAAATCTTCTTCCTCCAGTAGATGGTTCTCCTGCTTCCAATTCCAACATTTAACAGAGTGTAAAAGTCGAAAACAACTTATTGTCATCCAATCAGGGGGGCTAAAAATAAAGTTTAAAAAAGCAATTTCTCTCAATAATCACTTTTCACAATGTTATTCAGGCTTTCTATCTTTTAAATCATCCTTCAGTTTTTTTTTATTTTTAGGTCTTTAATCTTCCTCTTTAGTTTTTAGTCTTTAATCTTTCTCCATAAATCCAATCACCATTTCTTTATGTTAGGAGATTATTGTTACTCTAAGGAAACAATTGGAAGTTATCTCACCCAGTTTCACTGCTTTGTCCACACATCGCTCCAGCACAAGATCTTAGTCTCCCGGTTGTCCCACTTGTGACTGATCAAAATGGCCGCCATCTCTGCTGCCGTTCGGGAGACCTTTCCTTGGATCATCAAGGGAATTGCGATTTTCTGGTGATTGACAAAGTGCCTCTCCTTTCTTCACCACCCCATAGGATCTCCCAGCAAGCGGTTGGTGGCTACATTTCATGGAGCCTAGCAGAGCTCTGCTATTTTCCAGCTGCTCTCACCACGATGTCCACCAGAAGTCAACAATTCATGCTTTTGTACAGTACATGAATCCTGTTGTGTTTGTGATAAACCTAAACTGACTTTTTATTGTCAGCTGTGAGTGCTCACCAATTAATTGCTTAATAATAAGGGAACTTGGAGTGTGAACATAATATTTGTGTTTAAAGCAGTTGTCTAATCTTGCAGTTGCTGTGAGGATTTTCTATCTTACAAAATAGAGTGAACATACATTTAATTTAAGGTACGATCTGGATTTCTGCAACCTAGATTTCACACCCACATCCACAAAATTAAAATATTGCATTGTCTTATTCCCACTATCTTACTGCTCTAAATTATCTTTATGAAAAGTTTTATTCCCTCTCTTCAGAAAATCATTATCCAATGATTTTTATCTGCAATGTGACATATGGCACCTTGTCACAAAATCACTTCAGTGTTTTGGTCCATCAGCTTGTTCCTAAATCTCTTAATCTAGCTCTAGTGTCTACATTTAATGGAGACAGCATTACAAGTGGTGAAATTAGAGTGGAAAGGAAAATTGTACAGAATTCCTCTACACGCAGAAAGTCCCAGTGGCAATTGTCAGTATTTTCAGGAAGGCCTGGAAGTTCCAGGGGTAGGCTGCTGGGGGCTTACAGGGCCGTGGGGGAGCCCCTAACTAAAACTCTGTGGGGCTCATTGAGCCCCCAATAGCCTCAAAAAGACAAACAGCCTAGAATAATAAATGCGTATCTTTTCGGCTTTTTTCCTTTCTGGACATTCAGCCAAGAGCATTTCACACCTCATGAAAATGTCAGGCTAGATAAAGTGCTTGTCAAGGGCTAATTCCCAAATAAGAATCATGTAACTCATCAGAAGCTCCATTAAGACTCCAAGATCCCTCTCACAATCACTGCTATTAAGCCTGGTTTCACCCAGTCTTTTATTTAAATATTAAATGCACAAAATAATAAACCACTTTTTAGTATATTATCTTTTTTTTTAGGTAATTAGGGCAAAGAAGCGATGTCGAATTGGTCACACCCACTCAGTAACATGCCCACCTAGCCATGCACACCCACCCAGCCATTAGGGCAGAGAACCCCTTGCTAAAAAAATTGAAGCCCCTGGCTGGAACACTCAGTCCTAGAAACCTGAAAGGCTGCTGCCAGTTGATCTGGTAGTGATAGATGAAGTAACGGCCAGGCTCAGTGGTTTGTGGCATAGCACTATGTATAGACTCAGATAAGTATGGCTGCATGCGGCTTTGCATATGATTGTCATTTTAGGTAAACCATCGTTTATGACTTAGTGATAATGTATAAACCACATCTCTATGGCTTGCTGACCCAGTCAAATTCCTCAGAGGTGGTACTCAGCAGGTTCTCAGCAGTTCTGCAGAACTGATATAGAGGAAATTTTGAGTACTTCAGAATACCACCTCTGACTGGCCCCTGGCTCTGCCTCCCAAGTCCCAGATGATTGGGATCTTCTTTTGCTGCTGTGCATAGGAGAACAGAGCTGGAAAGCAGGTTAGTGGGGTAGGGAGGGAATGAAGATTTTACAGTATCCTTCCCCTGCCATGCCCACCAAGCCACGCCCGTAGAACCGGTAGTAAAAAAAAATTGAATCCCACCACTGATATTCATGCTTTACATATAGTTCCCAAATTCAACTTGGGCTGGTAAAACTTATATCTGAATCTTTGGACACCAACAGTGCAAATTTACATTTATCAGTCCCAACATAAATGCAGCTTGCTGTGCTCCTGATCTGTTCTGAAGGAAATTAGAAGGACAAAGAGATGGCGATAGTGATGAAATTAGCAAAAACAGCAAGGAGAAAAAGATATTGAATAGTGATAAATTATTACCATAACAGAGAAGAAGATGCTGGAAAATGAGAGGGCAAGTGGGAGATTATTCTATGCATGCTTCCTAAATTCACTCAGCTCAAAAGAAGTGAACCCAAAAGGAGGGTTGCCATTTCATGCGTATTTGCTTAGAAGTTTGACTCATTCAACACTGAGGGTCAAAAAAAAAAACACGCATTAAATCTGGTGGTACATCTGCGATGCTACGTGCGATTTTACTTGGGAATGATCGCTCAGAGAAACTATGGAAAAAACAACCATGCGCTTCACTTTGTTTCTACCGGGCACACCCAACCCTACTCTAGTCTCCGCCTCGCTTCCTGAACAAGTAGACGGTGGGCGTATTGGATCCACTGACGAAAAGTCAGGCGGGCAGGTCTTTCTAGGTGGAGCCATCAAATCTGTTTTCCATTCCGCGTTTTCCAACTCAGCATACTAAGTTAGACCCAACTAGCGTTAACCTCCAGTTCCTGGTTTTGCAGGCGGCTTACAGCTGCTTAGCGCATCTGGTCCGCCGCGCCTTCTCTCTTCTCCTCCTCCTCCTCTTAGCGTAGGCATACCATAGCTGCTAGTACCCAAGAAGCTGCCATGTCCGGAGAAGAAACTGCCGGGGAAGATGCGGGAGCCCCTCAACCCAGCACTGTTGCTCCTCCAGCGGAGCAGCAGCAGAACGAAGCAGCAGTGGCGGAGGCACCAGCGACTGGCGAGGAGGGAAAGGCTGCTGCGGGGACGTCGGAGGAGGCTCCCGCAGTTTCTACCAGTACCGCTGCTGCTGGTCGCCAGTATAGGGCACTGGTGCTCACCGGCTTTGGTGGTTACGAGAAAGTGAAAATGCAGATTCGGCAGCTGCCTCAAGCGGAACCCAGTCCGGGCGCTGGCCAAATTTGCGTGCAGGTCCGGGCCTGTGGGCTCAACTTTGCTGACCTGCTGGCTCGCCAAGGGGTCTACGACAGGCTTCCCTCGCCCCCCGTTAGCCCTGGCATGGAGGCGGCGGGAATCGTCCTGGCCGTGGGCGAGGGCGTCTCCAGCCCAAAGGTGGGTAAAGAGCTCTCCGCGGCGCTACCACGCCGTGGTTAGCCCGTCTCGAGCATTCAGACGCTGGGAGTGGCCGGCAGCAATTTTTGCTCCGCGGCGGCGAATAACAGGCTGCCTATCCTAATCGGAAGTGATTGGGAGGCAGAAAGATGGGTGGCGGGCGTAGCCGCTAACCCGATATTTGGGTGCAAGAAAATGGGTGGGGTACCTCGAGGCGGTCGGGAAATGGCCTACAGTGTTAGGAAGACCCAAACTTGAGGGTCTAACGGTGGGGGGAGGGGGGTTGAGAAACACAAATCCTAAATGTGAGTTGTGAAGAAAGAAAATGTGTGAAGGTGACTAAGGGTCCCACCCTACGGATCAAGACGTGGAACTGGCAGAAAAGTGGGTGTGGATTTGCTTGCTAAGACAATGAGGTGTCAGACTCCTCAGCCAGCCAGCATACTCTTGGCCTCCTGCTAAGCTAGTGCTTATAATTATAAGACCTCTCCCGCTAAAGGCCTTTAGCCGAGAAATGGGCGATGGTTACTATGGGAGGCAGGGCTTTAAGACATTTTTGGAAACTGACCAATCATTGATGGTCACCAGGACATTTTGCTCTCAAGAGGACGGTTTTTGTCCCTGGCTTCCCTTGGCCTCAAGCTTAATCCTTTGAAAATACTTGGTGGGAGGGGGCAGAGATGTTGGGTAGAGAAGACCTACCTCATTCCTCATCTCAGCCATTGAATTGAAGGTGGGTGGGGCTCATTCTAGAAAGGGATTTGGAAGCTTTTTGAAATACAAATCGAGCTGAAGCCCTGCTGCAATAGTGACCTTTTGCCCAACCCACTCCCAAGCCTGGAGCTCTCATCCTTGCCCAAAAGGATAGGATGCAATGGGTGGCGCTGTGGATCCTTGACTTAAGAGAGCCCTTCTTAGCCTGCTTAGGGAACAGGAAATGGCCTGCCACTGGGATCAGGATGCAGGTTTTCACATTCCTTATTTGTAGAATTTTGTATTTCTAGCATTAATATTTTTTCCTTCTTGGTCTTCTCTCAAGCTATATGGTATAGTGTTATTTTTCTTCCAAAGAGTTTAATCTCTGGATTGTTTTTCAGTGCCTCTGTTCAACCTTGAAACACATTAAAATTTGCATAGAGTATTCCATTCTGGGAGGTTCCCCTTGTTTACTCTGGGAGGAATTCAAGAATTACAGCTGTGTCTACATCTTTTGCATCTGCTTCCCCACCTTTCTTTTGGGGGCATCGTCAGTCATTAAGCTGAAACTTAAAGTGCTTTCACTATACTTCTTATCTGAGTTCAAAAATCATGAGTTGTAAAACAAGCTTGAAGCATATGTAATCTATGCTTTAAAATGGGTGGAGTAAAGAAAAGTGGACTTGCCCTATTTCTGCTTTAACCCAAAGGCAATTGCAAATATTCTAAGTTTTTTTAAAGCCACTGATTACTTAAATAAGATGGCGTGGTGGTGGAGAATCTCTGTTCTACGGCCTCTCCTTAGTAATTTTTGCCTCATAACCAGAGGTGGTATTCAGCAGGTTCTGAGCAGTTCTGCAGAACCAGTGTTGAGTAGTTCAGAGAACCGGCAAATACCACCTCTGACTGGAGATTTTACAGTATCCTTCCCCTGCTACGCCCACAGAACCGGTAGTAAAATTTTTTTGAATCCCACCACTGCTCGTAACAACCCTTTGATGAGTCTGGATATGTCAAAAAGTAATGCCTGGACAGGTACATTACTCTGATAGGTACAAGGTCAATTGTGAACTGGTGTTCCTGGTTCTTGTCTAATTGCTATAATTTCATGTTGGGCAAATGTAGATCATGCCTAAGAAATTTCACAACTGTACTACCTCCTATCAATGTTTGTAATATATCCCTATATTCCTTTCATTAACTTTTGAAGCTTGATTTTTTAAAACAGTTTGATAAGAATCTGGCAATGCATGTATTTATTGATGTAGACCAGTGGTGGGATTCAATTTTTTTTACTATCGGTTCTGTGGGTGTGGCTTGGTGGGCGCTGCAGGGGAGGATACTGTAAAATCTTCAGTCAGAGGTGGTATTTGTCGGTTCTCTGAACTATTAAAAATGTCCGCTACCGGTTCTCTAGAACTGGTTAGAACCTGCTGAATACCACCTCTGCACCAAGTCTGGTATAGACTTGTTTCCAGGCAGCGTCAAATAAACAAATTAAAATCAGATCTAGTTTTGAAGAATTAAGTCTGCTTTTCTTTGCAAATCAGTGTTAATAAAATTTAATGATTGCTTTACTTAGATGATGTACAGAATGATCAAACAGACTGTTTAAGAAGGACTGGATTTCATGAGGGTTTTTTTGTCACCTGCAGGAAGACATTTCATGAGCAGTTATTTTCTTTGCAGTTAACTAAGACCTGTCATCAATCTTGAAAAGCTTCAATCTATCTCACAACTATTTAATTGGCAGGAATTCTACACAATCCTCAAGGGTCATGTCTCATGCTATTGTTCTCTATTGAGTAGGATATTAAGGGAGATTTTTAAGAAGAAGATGTGGCATTTCAACTTATTTGGTAGAACAAGACTGACACAGAACAAAGGTTAGACATACCAGTATGATACTCCTAGATATTTTTCAAATTATTACTAATGATAATAATATAGGAGCCTCTATGGCACAGTGGTTAGAGTGCAGTACTGCAAGCTAATTCTGCAGCCAGCTGCCTACAATTTGTCAGTTCAAATCCCACCAGGCTCAAGGTTGACTCATCCTTCCATCCTTCCGAGGTGGGTAAAATGAGGACCCAGATTGTTGGGGGCAATATGCTGACGCTGTAAACCGCTTAGAGAGGGCTGTAAAGCACTAAAAAGCGGTATATAAGTCTAAGTGCTATTGCTATAATGCCGATTGGGACTGAGATTTATAATCGGATAAATCAAGAATGCCAGTTTGGGGAACTTCTAACGTGTTTTATCTGTGTATTTTAAAAAATGGCAAGGTTTTAAAATTTTGTTTCACTTACTAGAGAAGGGAACAATCCCATGGAATATTCCAATCAAACTAAATTGAATCGGAATATTAAAATATTAGTGAAGCTGACTTGTTTAGGATGGCAGCTTGTAATGGTGTGAACGCTACAACTCAGCTGAACAACCTGTTGAAAGGTTATAGGGATCTTTTTGGTAATGGAATTGGTATTGCACTGGGGGAAAAAATCAGATTCTTTTTCATGACTTTGGAGATGGTTAGAACAACAGCAGAAAAATGCCTGTTATTTTTGTCCTTCACCACCTCCATACTCTTCAAAATGATCTAAAATGAATTGCTAATATTAATCCACTTTACTGCTAAAATTTGGCAGTGTGATTTTAGTATGTGTTTTTCTAAATTAGAGCTGGAGTGAAGTTAAGGGTGGAGAAGGGAGTATTTTACCTTTCAGGGCCTCATACTCCCATTACAAAATAAAATAAAATAAAATTCCTTAATTTTTGCTGCCAAATTTCCTATAGTATGTAATTTTTAGGGGGAGGGGGTTGTGAGAAAGGATTAAGAGTGGAAATTAGAGTGGTTGGCTTGCCATTTTTATCTTCATTTTTTTAAAATAAAAATTTCAAAAAGAAAATTCAATTGCATTGCCACCAAATTTCAACAGCATGATCCTAGAATGTTTAGAAGCTGGGTTCTTGTTAGTTACTTACTATACATTCTAAAAGCTTTGGCAATCTAATATATTTCCTAGAAATATGTATATTTGTATGTATGTAGAGGTCATGAAATTAAGGTAACTAGAAGCTTTTCAATCAAAGTATTAGTTGCATCAGGTTAAAATACCTCTAGCTAAATGCATCATGTTAAATGCCGGATCAGTCTTTGTCTTGCTGCCTTTTTGCTGTGGTTTGTACCCTCCAAACCTTGCCTGTCTATTAGGCTATGGAGCTCTAGAGATTCAAATGCAGAAAGATTATTGGAGTGTGTAGGAAGAGTCACACAGTACATCAATTTATGAAAGCAGTCACATCTTTTTCTGGAATCATACAACCTCTTTCTTAACCCCTCATTGCAGCACAATCGAAGAAGGAAACCATGGCAAGTTTAAGCGGCTGCTAACAGGTGATATGTGCACTGTGTATGCTTTGAAGCATTTTTCCCTTTCTGATCTAAAATGCTGCACAACCCTAATATTATTACCCTTATCATCCCAGACAAGCTAGAAAACAATTTTTTATGTTTGGATGGATTGTCTAATGAAGAACACGCTTTTCAGGAAGCTCTGAGCTTAATAGGAATTTTCAGGTGGTTGATTTTATACGTTCCTTCTCTTATGTGCCTAATGTTTACCACACACTGTTCTTATTAGGCTTATGGTAAATAACACGGGGGTGGGTGGGTGTAGTTTAGATTTAACCTAGCTTAAATCACCATTTGATTCGGGAAATGAACATGAAACAGTCTTTGAGTTCCTCCTTTCCTTCATCCCTGGCATGGTTATGAAGAGGAAATTATAAACTTCTAATTTAGATTGGTATGATACGATGGCCTGAATGTAAAAATGAGGTCAGTATAACTATCGCTGCTGAAAGCAAAAAGGGAAAGGTTTCTTATAAGTTATGTCTGACTCTAGGTCACATTGTTCATCTCTGTTTCTTGGCTGGGAGAGCCAGCATTGTCTGAAGACAATTTCCGTGATCATGTGACAATTTCTCTGAGCATGGCTATACACACAAGATGCATGGAAATCTCTCATCTTCCCATCAAAATAATACCGATTAATTGGGATGGGATGTGACAGGGTTAACTACCGGTTCAGGATTTACGGCTTCCCTGCCCTCTGTGAGCCTTGCGCCTGTTAATCTCCATTAGCACACTGTGTGCCGAGAAGCAGCCTTTGAATCAGCCCTCTTTTCTTGTTTTTTTAACTGCAGCTGTGCCTCGTTTGGCAGCTGAAGTTGAAAAATCAGGAAATAAAGGTCAGGTAAGAGCCCGGGTGGGCAAAAACATCAGCAGACATAGAACCGGT